GAGGCTAAAATGTTACAACTTATGGTTAGAATGTAGTCTCTATAAGTAGTCAAAAGCGTAGTAATAGCAGGTACGACATCTGCGTGTAGAAATAAGCGATATTTTTGCTTGTTTCCGTATTGCCTAGGAGACTCCACAAGAAAAAAAAACCACTACTTTTCTGCCGTCCTTTGTCCCAACGTTAGCTCGTTCATGGTTCCGTCTTCAAAATATCGCCGCGTATTGGACAAGTCGATATAGTTTCTGGAATTCTGTAGTAGTTTATAATATCTTAATAGCACCCGTAAAAGCCAACCTGTTCAGCATAACCCAGCAATTCCGTTCTAATAGTTGATGCTTGTACGTGAGAAATGGTTCTTCTACTGCTTGTCGGGTGACATCAAAGTTCTTATAGAGAGACAACTAAAGATACTTTGAAAAAGGTTTAAAATGAAAGTTGCAGAAAATAATCTACCATATCTTTATTGCTTAGCTCGGCATCCTTCAAGAACTGTAAGGAACGTACAAAATCAGCTGCGAGCCTAGGCTCAAGAAGTTTCATTTGATAGAGACAATCCGTAACTGATTTCATCTCTCGAATAGGCTGAAAAATTATTCTTTTTTCCTGGAATAGCCGTTGTGTGTCAATTTTTTGGATATATGCGCCAAAAAGTGCCAGAAGCTGAAAATAGGATGAAAATACCTTGAACTTTTTCTGTATGATTTGTTACATATTTGTTCTTTGTAAAACTTCTATAAAACTAGTCTGTACTCATTAACGTTTTTGTGTGCATAACCTTTATTCTCAACATTTATATATTTTATATATTATACCAATATATATATAATATATATTATCTATAATAAATATATATATGTGTTATATTATTTTTTATATATTGAAGAGTTAACAAAATTTTTAGCAAATTTATGAATTTTTGCATTGGTGTCGTTTCTTGTTTAAACCTATTATTATGTACATCTTTGACCAATATGTTTTCGGATAATATATTGATTATTCAATATCTTTTTGAATGATCTTAACGATTTGGAAGCCAAAAATAATCAAAACCTGATGAAACCAATCCTTCTCAGTTAAAAACTAATTTTGCTCCATCCATTTTCACACCTAGCTGAATACAACATGTACAACATTTAAAAAGAG